TGCAGTGCTGTGTGGTGTTCAGTGTGTGTGACTGTAGAACTGTGTGGTGTTCTGTGTGTGCTGCTGCAGTGCTGTGTGGTGTTCAGTGTGTGAGTTACTGTAGTACATTACTATAGTCGATGTGCACTATATTCACCAGTGTCTCTACTTTCAGACCCAAAGTTGGGGACTCAAAGCCAAAGCTGAAACGCTCGCAGAGTTTCGGGGTCTCTAGCGCCAGCAGTATCAAACAGATCCTGCTGGAGTGGTGTCGCTCCAAAACCATTGGCTACCAGGTGAGTGAGGGTCAGTTCCACTGCATGGCCTTGTGATCAGTGTGGTGTTTTCTTGTTCTTGAAAGTGAGTAGCTCCTTGTGTCACACTGTAAAAGCGCACAAGTCCTTCGCTTTCAGTTCCCACCCCAGGGAATCTTTCTGGCACGTAGAAGGTGCAAAGTCCTTTTTCTTATGCGTGCTCTCCTCTCCCACCCAGAACATCGATATCCAGAACTTCTCGTCCAGCTGGAGTGACGGCATGGCCTTCTGTGCGCTGGTGCACTCCTTCTTCCCCGAGGAGTTCGACTACAATGCCCTGAGCCCTGCCAACCGCAAGCAGAACTTCGAGCTGGCCTTCAGCAAGGCGGAGTGAGTGTGCAGCCCAGGCTCCGCAAGAGAGCTCTCAGTGACACAGAGCCACTGAGGGACGACTGCCGTCTCAGAAATCCTTTCCAATCGCTCCGTACCTCGGCAATACCCAGATGGGTCCTTCGGTTGATAAAGTTTCACACCAAGCTCTGAAATCCAAACACGCCTGGACAGCAGCCTGTAGCCTGACCCCGTGAGGTTGCAGGAGCTCAGCTGGCTGGGCCTGGACAGAGCTGGGATGGGAGACCACTTAGGAAATCTGGGCTGCTGCTGTGGTGGTGTTGGTCGACCAGTAGGGGGCGTACTACAACTGTTTAGGACCCTCCGCCAACGGTATAATCCGGGTGAGACTGGAGAAGAGCTACAGGGAAAACAGTGAGAGGAACTGATGGGAGGACAGACAGGGGGCGGTGCCAACGGTGATCCAGGTGCGAGGGGGAGCGCAGGCGAACCAGTCCAGTAGGAGTCCGAAAGGGAAAAACAGGGCGCAGGTCAAAGTCCAGGTAGCTGGGAGATCAATCCAAGACAGACAGTTAAAAACAGGAACCGGGTCGGAACCGAAACAGGGAAGTCCGAGTTCTGAGCCCCGGACCTAGACTGTCAGGAGGCCGTGGTCTCTCCTGGACCCGCTGGTGCTGAGCCCAGAGCTTAGGAGGCACAAAACTTATATAGTGATGGGTTAAACAGGAGACGGGTGCACGTAATCATGAAACTTATAATAAAAGGGTTTTTTTTAAAATAAGTTTTTATTGGGTGGGGTGGTGGCTCTGTGGCTAAGGATCTGTGCCTGTGGCTGGAAGGTTGCTGGTTCAAATCTTGTGGCCGGCAGAGGAATCCTACTCTGTTGGGCCCCTGAGCAAGGCCCTTCATCCCAGCTGCTCCAGGGGTGTTTTACAATGGCTGACCCTGTGCTCTGACCCCCAGCTTCTCTCCCTGTCTGTGTGTTTCATGGAGAGCAAGCTGGGGTATGTGAAAAGATGAATTCCTAATGCAAAAAATTGTATAAGGCTAATAAAGTGATGTTATGTTTTATAAACACCAAAAATACAAAAAAAGGAGAAAGAATATTGAAATAGATACAGAAATAGACACTTCACAGCCAGAGGAATTCACAGTGGTAAAAACTAAAAATGATACTTTTTACAGATTTCCATTTAAGGTCTTGCCTTTTGATTCTTTAAATGTCTAATAGAATTTAAATAAAAAAGGAATTCGACTTTAAAAGCATGAAACTAATAATAAAAGGTCAGAGAGCACCCTCTAGAGAAGGGATGACAACCGTGACAGATGTCTTCCCTGCCTCTGGAGACCCCATCTGGAGACCCCACCTGGTCATCACATCACTGCCCAGCACGGCCAGCCAGCTGAGGTCATGAGCAAACTATGCAGCAGGACTCCTCAATTAACAGGGGACCCACAGGCGCTGGAGAAAACAGCACACGTTTACAGAAATGCGTGTAGGCTCTTTACAATAATGTGTCTTTCTTCCAAGACTCAACATCGTCATCTGTCATTGCAGATCATCCCAGGGTGATGCAATACTTTTGGTTCGCTGATCCTCTTTTATTTTGGAAGAAATTCTTTCCAGATCTGGCCTTTAGAATGTGTAACCACCCATCCAGGGTATCAGTCAGTTGGTGGCTATTATATACAGTAGTTAATGGGGTGGTCAAACAGTGAGCCGGTCAGTGTGTCAGCGAGTCAGCCATGTGTCAGCGAGTTGGTCAGTGTGTCAGTCAGAATGTTGGTTCTGTGTCACTGAGTCAGTCAGTGTGTTGGTGGGCAGGTCAGTGTGTCAGCATGTCAGTGAGTTGGTCAGTGTAGCAGTCTGTCAGTTAGAATATCAGTTA